GATTTTGCCTAGTAACATTTCGTTTTTGAACACGCTCCTTAGCTCTTTCCCGGCGAAGCTCGTCTCTGTCGGCCAGACTAGGATCGAGTTCAGAATTTGGCAATGGCTCAATTTTTCCCGACCTCAGACCAACTCGAGATTCGCGAGCCTGTTGAGCAATTCTTTGCAGATGCTCTTCCTTTCTCTCTTTATCTTTTTGAGCAACTTTCCTTTCAATTTGTGCTCTCATTTCGACTGCTTCACGAGCTTTACGATCAGCCGTGTATAAAGCCTCAGCTAACTTTGCGAAGTTCTCGTTTATATGAACACTCTGTAAGCCTCTACCATCCGCAGCGACGCGTTTGTCAAGTGGGATAGTGTAGCCTCGGGGATTTTTCCAGTTCGAAATACACGGTGGTATTTTCCATTCTGCTTGCTCTTTGACAGTGACCTTACGCGAAGGAGAGTGCATAAGCGGGGGCGGAGGGGAAGGTGGCCCTCGTGGTATCTTTTGATTTATTCTGGGGAATAAATATAAATAAAAACTTACTTAAATCTAGGCGGCTCCATAGGATCTCGTTGAGCTTCAACCATCCTAACAAGCCTTTGCTTAGCTCCGCTATTAAAAGCCGGGCCCTGTTGAGATGGTGTATAACGGATGTATTCTGCTGGTGCAGTCTTTTCCGCTCTCCTAGCAGGAGCAGCGGCTGCAACCTTTTGCTCAACTAAGGCTTCCAGGGCCTTTTTTGTCTTTTCCGTTATCTAGTACATATTATCCGAATTTATGACTACCTCCGCTATAGTATCAGCATCTGGCTTTGAGAGCTCGGGATCATCATCTTCTACAATCTTAGGAAGGAGGTCGGAAAACTTAGAATGAATTATTCTATCCTTTCCATGACCTTGGCGTATCAACTCATCATATCTTATTTTGCCCTCTTTATCCGTTTTCATAACCAAAGCATTTGAAACCGTCTTGCTTTGCCCCATCCCAAGAGGATATTGTGGAACGTGAATCTCAGGAAAAGCACCACCATCTCCGAAGTCTTCGGTAGCTCGAGGGACCCAATTTTTCCTATGCCCATAAGGAGGAATTGAGGAAGTTGCGACGATAACCCGGGACGTCGAAGTAGTTAGTTCATGTTCATTGACATAGTGATTCTGGATGGGAGCAGGTAGGTGGCTAGAAGAAAAAAGTGTAAGTAAGACAATTACCTCAGGAGGGACATCCTAGCGGGCTAAAAGGTTTGCTGATTTAAAGAACACTGTCATAAATATTTACATCTATTTTTATGTAATTATATTAATTTAATATAGCATTATTTGTTATTTATATTAATTATTTATGAGTTGTTTTATTTAGTTAAATGAATGTTTTAATATTATTTTATTTATTTTAGATTTTGTATTTTTTGGTTATTACCGTGCCTCCGCGCTCTGTCCATATGCCCTTTCGTGATGTCTCTAAATGCCCTCTCCGTCCCTCCTGCTCCAATTAAGTTCAGTAGTGTCTATTTACACCAGGAGCAGAGTCAGCATGACCGAATTAAAGCTGTTTCCCATCTTGATCACGTTTGTCAACTAGACATTGATCAGGTGCCTGCATATGTGAGACAGACTAACATCGTTTGTACTCTAGGTATGTCGAAATAAAAGATCTATGTATGTAGGTGAATCGTGGGACTCGAAGGAGGGGCTTGAAAAAATGATTAAGAATGGAATGAATATTTTGCGACTGAACATCAATATGGGTTCAAGACAATATTTCAAAGAAGTCATATCCCGTGTCCGTGAAATTGAAAAAGAAAATAATTATGTTCATGTCGTCGCCATCGCTCTTGATCTTACTGCTCCTCCAGCTAGAACAGGCCTTATAAACGGGGTAACTCTTTTTGTTGCCTATTTTTAGGACCCTGATGGTGTGTTAACTCTCAAAGATGGTCAAATAGTTGGGCTGACGACGGATGCGAAATTTCAGAGTAATAGTTCGGTCGATAATTTATGGATCGATGTCACATATTTTCCGAAATTGATGCACACTATCCGTCGAGGGGATCGAATTTTTCTCGATGATGGGGACATTCATCTTATCGTCAGGGATATTGAGATGGATAGAATTACCTGCCTAGTCGAACAAGGAGGTAAGCCCCCTTTGTATTCATATATATTTAGGTGACTTGGGTTCTTCAAAACGTGTTCAAATTCCCAGGGAGCGATTTTTTGGCCGTAGTCTTGGTCTCGGCTATTTAAGTGATCTCCAATTTGCTACGGAATGCGAGGTTTGTAGTACCTTACTACATATACTACGTAGGTTGACTTCGTTTTCACAAGTTTTGCGCTCAGTGCTGAACAGATACTCCAAGCTCGCAACATCCTTGGGAATAGCATAAAACTCTTTGCCAAAATAGAAACCAAGGAAGCTTTTAACAAGTACTTCTCATTTTCATTAGTTTATGATCCGTGTATTGGTTAACCTTACTCACGTAGCCACTTTTTGTTTCAGTCTGGAAGATCTAATAGTTGTATCTGATGGGATTATTATCGGTCGAGGAGACTTGGGCTTGGAAATTCGTCCTGATCTCATATTTGCCGCCCAAAAGCGCATAATAGCTTGCTGCAATGTCAAACAAAAGCCAGTTTTTGTGATCACTCAACTCTTAGAGTCAATGAGCTTTAAACCTCGGCCAACTCGAGCTGAAGTGAGTGATGTTGCCAATGCAGTGCTTGATGGTGCAGATGGGCTCATATTGACCGTAGAAACATCAAAGGGTCTCTATCCTCTTCATGCCTTGCGATCTATGCACCAAGTATGCCAAAGTTTGAGTCATTTGATTGTACTTTATTGAGTTTTCGACATACTTTTACATATTATGCATTTATATCATCCTTGTTTAGGCTTTATTTTAATCTTGGAATATCTTCTATTTCGTTCGGAGAGGCGAGGGAAGGGTCCACGTATGCATCTCATATTTTGGCTAGATGCCCTATGCTTTGCCTCTATATTTCTTTATAAGCTAAGTTAACTGGCTACAAATGAAACGTGAAATGTGTGTAATTAAAACCCAACAGCTCCATCCTCTAAAATACTTATGCCTTTGATCCGGCAATGTTACCGCATTTGAGTGCATTGCTCTTGAAATGAGTGTAATGTGGTAGTCAAAACCAAATCCCTGCCTAATCAAGCCTCTTCTTGCGCGGTGGTCATTCTCGTTTCCCTCCCTCTCTCTAAACCTATCTAACAGCCACAGGTAATTTTCGCTTAACTCCATACACATTCCCTCTATTTAGGATGCTGGTCATTTTTTTGAATTCTGTCGCCTTCCTACTCTTTCGCTCACTGGTATAATCTCCATATCCAGCTAAGCGTTTGGAATTAGACCAATATATCTGGTGTCATGTACGAGCCGTGTGTTTAGTCAATTCAGGTTTTGGGACCTATGTCCTTGCAGGTTGTTTCGTGTTTGAATAACCTCTTATGCATAGGTCCACAGGTCTCTCCCACATAGTCACTACCACATGAACAAAATATCTTGTAACATTCTTATCTGGATGGCGAGTCATAGTATTCTTAAAAGCAGGCAATACCGAGGACTGTTATTTTCTCTTTATTAATGGTCCTGATGCCCCACCTCAGTAATTCGCCTATCTTCTTCTACAGATTACACGCTCGCAGCATAAGTACCCTTGTGATCTCGACTGATCTATCTTTTTGTCTAGCCTCAAATATGTATTTCCCTTCGTTCTATTTGACAATATTACAAAATACTTGTCAACCATAATTCGCCTTAGTCTCCTCAGTTCCTGCTCCCGATGTTTAGCATCTGTCGGACGCAGGCTCCTTCTTATCATAGATTTCATAACTCCAACCTTAAACCCGTAAGTGCAGCTGTTCGGTTTCACTTGCACCCATTTCACGCTACCTCTGTGACTACTTCACATGCGATCCACAACCACTTAATTTAACTTATAAGCAAATATAGAGGCAAGGCATAGGACATCCAATCAAAATATGAGATGCATTTATGGACCAAATTGGAATATAAGAAGGAAGTAGGTTAAATCCGGCCACCTTTCTTGCCTTCATGATTTTGCTAAATTATCGTTAAGCATGGTGTCCTGCTCTGACGAAAGCTCAGCAAGGATGCACCGAGGTTGCAGGACGGTATGCCGTGGATCTATTCGCACAAATATACGACCACAGCTCCAAGGCAATCCGGTTTAACCAAGTTACGAATCCCTTCCACTCCCCTCCACAAACGAAATGAAAGTTAATCTAACATGATTATATTAAAGGACTCTACATTTATTTTAATCTATTTGTGTTGGAATGCCATATAAGCAGCATATTTGCATATGCATTATTTAAAGTTACTTATAAACTAGATTATTGGATACCTGAGAACGAATTCTTGATTTTAAAATTTTATCCAAAGAAACTAGGCGAGCAAGATCTTCCCTTACTAGCTTATGAGGTAAGTTCTCACATTACTTATTTTCAACCAGATAACAGAACGACTTTCTTTAAAAAATAATGTATATTGATAATTAGCAGGTTTATATATCATCCGTTGGTCTTGAATGCTTACTTTAGTAACACTGGATCACAAGTTGATGGAGGGCTAGTGGTTGAATTCTACTATACTCATACAAATAGGTCACGATGCCATTTCACTTAACCTTGTTTCCCAAAAAGTGTTAGCATTTGGACTGTACTGCCTGGTTCTCATCGGCGACCATAACCTATGTAGTTAAGTGTGTCTTGTCGACATGACACCACTACACCACAGCCACGAATGATGGCTGATGACAGGGCAGACGTCAATTTACAAGTATTGTATGTTGTGGGGCAGACTTGTATTTTGTAATTGCAATCAACTAAATTATTTATATTTATAAGTATTAGGTTTCGTTACTATTTTGAGTAAGGGCTGTATTATCGAAACCTCATTATGAATACAAGTAACGTAGTCGATTTTTGACCTAATCTGTTTCTTGAATGTGTTCTGCCAGATATCTCTCCGCATCCTTGTTTTTGCAATATTACGTGTTCCCTGATTTTTATTTCTCCACTACACTTTGCTTGCAGTTGCTGTTTTTTACTTAGTTCTCAAGATGGATGGCATATTAACTTAGGTTCGCCTATCTTACTCTTTAATTTCTTTTAAGAATTCCTATTATACCATTACCCTCTTGAAACTTTTATATTTCTTAGTATTACCTTAATAATGTATCCTTACAAGACGAATGAGTCAATTTGCTCAGTTTTTTACATAAATCCATGTCCGTTAGCCTCAGACATTTTAGTTGTGATGAGAGTTGAAATTTGAGAAAACTTCTGTATTCGGTTTCTTCATAAATATTCTTCCTGAGTATCCCATTTCAGCGACTATTATACCATAATAAGGGATGTTAGCCACTCACTCCACTAAGTTTATTATAAGTGTGATTATATTAGCAAACTTGTTCAGAAATCTTAAGAATAGAAGAGAAGCTGGGTTTCGAAGAATCCTTTAGTAGTTTGATGCTGGTGTATCCTTCATTTCGTTTGATGCAGCTGGAAAGGTTTCATTTATTGGCCTCCCTGGATACTTATAGTGTTATGATTAATTAAATTAGTGATACTAAGAAATTTACGTCTAGCAGACGTAAATCATCTGGATCAGTAGTTAAAAAGGCTGAGAAAAATCTAAGTTAAGAATAGTTTTACGTTAGGATTGTTAACAATTTCAAAATATGATGAAAGGAAACCATTATTTAGGACAGAGCAGGGATTATGTAACTCTTCATTCTGGTTCCTAATGCTGCCAGCTTTCAAGAAAGAAAGAAGAAATGCTAACCTTCATCGGTCATTCCTTGTTTTAGATAATCTTCAGACGCCCTCTGCAGATCATGCTGTCCTAAGATTTTGTGCCTATATAGCGTTTGTGGCGGATACTTGTCGACCCATACATAAAAGGTTATCAGAACACACCTGCTAGGGTTCACGTATTCAGAAATCAGATGTGGCTGAACATTGGTCATTACAGGACACCAGATAGAGCGATCTAAATCTCCAGCAAAGCCGTGAATGCTTTCTCTCCTGCGATGTTTAAGTACAT